CTGCCGTATTGATAACCGCTCGTTCTTAGTCGATAACTATGCTCTTGGGTTTTGGTCCTTCGTCCAGGTCCAGTCGGAACGGTATGGCCTCCAGTTCGTCGCGAATTGCGTGAAACAGTTTTTCGTAGGTGGCACTGCTCTTGTTGGGAAGCAAGGCAAACAGCACTGGAAATACTCCAGCGAAATGATCAACGTGAATCGTGTAGAGCTGATAAAACAATTTGGGAACAATCTGGAAAGTACCTTCCATGATCCAAGTCTTAGCCAAGCGCAGGTACTGGAAGCCCTCTCCTTTCAAAATAATGATGCGTTGCGGATCAGCCCTCCCGCTGTCAAACAACACGCTGTACCATCCGAGCTCACTCTTCTTCAGGTAGGTGTTGAGATCGGTATCTTCCGGCTTCTCGGGAGCTGGCATGTGAACCTGTCGCTGCCAACGCGCCATTCTTGTCAAATTATGGGCGGAAGGGAGATGGCCGGCTACTTCGATCGGGATATTCTGAACAAGATCGTTGGGCGAGGTTTCGTCAAGATTTTTCTTGCCCGTTCACGTAAGTTTGCTTTGACTTCTTCCGCCTTGGTTTCGTTCACGTTGGCTACGTGGTTGTGCTCAGCGGTTGACAGTACATTATTAGAAGAATCCAGTGTAATCGTTTCCTCGCAGCCATAAGTGTCCTTCTTTCTACAGTCCCAATAAGACCGCTCGCGCGGCAAGTTCCTGTTCTTGGTGTAGGTGTGACTTCCATACATGGCAATATTCCCTCCTCTGGATGACTTGATAAATGTCACCACGGTAGGACTGATATCGCGGACGCTTTCGTTTGCCATAGTAGAGATCGTTAATTCCGTAGTAAGCCGAATCTAGACTGAAAACAACCTGAAAAGTTGCAAAGAAAACGTTAAAAACGTTTTGCAATGTTCTGAAGAGAAACAGAATTCAATCAGACAGACAAACGGAAAGCTGTTCGAAAGATTCCTAAAGTGTGTTTGGCGCTACATGCGTCGATTCGACCGATGCAACGGCTCTTCGCTCAGGAGGGGCGGTACTTCGCTTGCCTGCCGCTTGATTCGAACTGCACTCTTTATACTGCGATTTCGAACTGCATGTACTGCAGATCAATCAATGGATTAACGGGGGCAAGTTCCGGCTTTTAAATAAGTACTGTCAATCGTCTGCATATGTCAAGCGTCGACAGTCGCCGTGTCGACACGAGACGACAAAAACCGGTTTTAGGTGAAACAGTTCATTAAAGGCGGAGCTTTCAGGGCTCGTGTTTGTTAGAAGCCGAAGCTCTTCGAGGCGGTGGTTCTTCGGGGCCAAAGTCGTTAGAGAATATGGACATATTTTAGGAGAAGGTGCTGTTAGAGTACGAAGCCCTTAGGGGGAAGGGTTGTTCTAGTTCGAGGTTCTTCGGAGCAACGTTTAGGGGAAATTGGAGTTTGAGGATAACGTGCCCCACCCAAGCAAAGTACCACGTCCAGCGTCAGTCGTCATTTCCATCGTCAATTACTGCAATTTCGGTTTTTCTTATTCACGTGGGAGTTTTGCAACGTCTCTGGTAAACTTTTTATCAAAGTCATCCGTCATTTTCCTACTGCCGAATCCAGATTGAGCTGATCACGAAATAGGTGGCTTTATTAGTTATCTTCGGTGATAGTACTGTTGTTTGGTACTTTGAACCCTCTGGGAATACTAAAACGTATGTCAGGGAAGGACTCAGTGACGCGCAAACTACCTGTCCTTTTGAAACCATGCAGGCTTCATTCGACCATCGGAACTACGTAATTTTCGCTGTCAGGCGGCATGAAAAGGGTCAGCTGCCTGTTCGCAGACCAACAGGGGTACTTGTTGATCCGTACGAAATTGAAGGACAGCTTTCAGCAGGTAGTGGGATAAAAATTACAAACAGTAGCAACTTTGTTGAACGTTTGCCTTTCTGTATCTACAGTACGAGGAGAGAGGCCCAACTTTTCTGACAAGCTTACTTTGCTAAGCCAAAGTCTGAAGGTAGCGCTGCCCACTGCGAATCTAGACTACAACCAATTGGCGGCTGAGCAGAAGTTAGCAAAGTTTTAGCCAGTTAGCATTCACAGTTCAATTTTAGGCCTTGATTCAGTGATCGGCAAGTCCACCGAGAGATTCAGATAAATCTGTCAAGGCAATGCGTTTGCGCTCGGAAGTTAGCAAAGTTGTAGCCGTTCCGATTTTGGGTGCAAACGGCTGTGTTGCGTCATCATTAACCCTGAGCACACTTTCAGAAATGTGTGATTCTGCTCGGTTCGACACATATGTGCTTTATCGGGCTTGGCTTGTTCTGCCCTCTGCAGAAAGAGTGCTTCCTCATATCGGATGCCATCTTCGAATGGCTTCCACTCTGGAATTTCTCTCGTCACGATCTTCCAGTGTTCCCAACTTCTGTCTGCAGCAGAATGAAGCAAGGTTGTGGGAGATACTTGTGAATTAATTTGGAATTTCAGGACCTGATGGTTTTCGAGAAATTCGTTAGTCAGAAAAGTAGTAACCAGTTTGGCGAGTTAGAAAAGTTGGGTCTTGTTCCTCTTAAATAAGCTGAGTTCTCACATCAACGTAATTGAGTCACAATTACGACCGAAGGACATTCATTTTTCAACCGAAGTGTAGACTGCCGTGGATCGCCGCACGGAGTGTCCCCTAGAACGATCAAAAATTGCTCAATACAGTACATTGCTGCTGCGGGGTCTTCCTACTGTCTGTCCATAATCCGTAGCGCCCGACGCCTGTTTATACTGCGTGCGGACGGTAGAAAAAATACCCAGATATATAAGGTTGTAACTGCATTGTTGAGTTTCCACGGTACCCTCAGAGAAGTTTAGTTTCGAACAACAACCCGAAATTGTTTCTTCTTTTGTAATGCCTAAGCGTGCCACCTCCTCCTCTGACGGAACACATTCCGCCAGTAAGCGTTCGCGACGAGATGATGCCAGCAAGCGAAAGAAGAGCCGGAATGGAGTTGTTCCACCTGCCGAACTACTGAACATCACAATATCCAGATGGCGCTGGCCGGATGTCCCAGAAGCAGAAGGCGGCTCCACGACTAATCTCGAAAGGTAAGCTGTCGTACGGAAAGCCGACCCAGTAAGCTTTCTTTGGAGGCTCCCATCTTGGTTACCGTACACAGAGTAAACGAAATTGCCCCGACGCTCTGCTGACCAGAGTGCGTAGAAACAGTTTTGATCGGTCGTGGGTTGAATACGGTACTGAACTTGCAGTGCTCCTCCTGCACAGCAGATATCAAAGACCAATTATCGAGTAGTCGAATCGATCCCTCTGAACTGGAAGCAAGTCCTGATCAACTACCGCGACAACAAGAGCAGCATCACGGATATCCTCTTTACGACCAACGAAGGCCACAAAGTCCCCGCCCATAGTCTGATTCTGCGCATTCGTGTTCCGTACTTCCACAACCTCCTTCCGGGTAAACACCCATCCCCTGACGGAAAGCCGGCCGAAGTCCACATCGAATGGTCTGACAGCGAGACGCTACAATGTATCATAGACTATGCCTACTTCTTCCGAACCGCCAAGGAATTCGCGTTGGCGCAAGTTCTCAAGGTGTACACTGCGGCCATGCACATTGAATGGGAAGAACTGGAGACGTCATGCTATGAACAGTTTCAGGAACAATTAGCTCAAAATAACTGTCTAGCTTGGCTGGAATGGTCCATTGTTAACAATGTGCCGCTGGTCAAACATCGCGCGGCAAGCTTCGCGGCGGCCCACATGGAAGTGCTTCAGGAAGAGCGACAACAAGACCTCACAGACTTGTCGCTGGAGGCTCATCTGTCAATTAACAATTACAGTTACTTAAGTTGAGTAAGCCAAGCGGATGTCCTGACTCCCGCGGTGGCGTAGATGGAAACAGTTGAGTTTCTTGGAAACTTTGTATGATTCAATGTCACTAGCTAATTAAAGCTTTTTGTTCGTTTTGCACTGTGGACCGGAAGTTCGCCGCATATACATGAAACAAATCCTATCGACTAACTATCAAAGCAAGTTTGTGGTACCGCTGTTACGGTAACAAAAGTCTTATACGGCGTCGAGAAAAGGAAGAAAGACTGAACGGAAAATCAATCGAAGAGAATGCTTTACAAAAGCGGGAGTTTTTCGAGCGGAGAGCTCACTGACGAACAACAATGCTATAAGGCGGTCTGCTTTTCAGCGGAAAGTTTATCGAAGAGAATGTTTTGAAAGCAGTCTATTAGATTATTCAAACCCAACAAGTAACCATCTTCGTGGTTGCCTTCCTTCCAGGGTTTGAGATGATCCACGTGAACGCCTTCAGGTAATGGCATAGTTTTGGCAAAGTCAATCATCCAGACACCTGCCAGGCCTTTGATGTCATGGATTAAAAGTAGCGAACTACCGATGACTTCGTGTGCGGCGAAGAACTTGGAAGAGAACAGGGCTTTCCGCAGCGTCTTTAGACGCTGAATATACATTTGCTGTAATCGAGAAAGAGATGAATATTTAATGGAAGGCGCTGAAGGCAAGGAGGATAATTAAACTTACAATCACTTCCAGGTTACAGTCAGTAAACTGCCGTAAGACTTGCATCACTTCGCTTTTCCTTTTGGTAAACTTGAAATTCTTGGAGCAGTATCCATCGGCTTTCTGAAACATGGAAACACTTATCAATACATTAGAGACGTGACCTAGACGCTCAGCTCCGTTAAGCAGAACAAACCTTGATGCCTTCAACCCGGAAGCCCAGCGTTGCCGTTGAACTGACTGTTTCTCTCCACTGCATGTAACGAGGCTTTGTGACGGCGGCTTGCTCGTGCTCTTCAGGTGTCGGCTCGTTAGGATCGACCTCAATCATTTTCTGATACATATCCTGCAAAAATAAACATCGAAGTTGCTACCCGGAAATTGTAAAGATAGAAGCAGATAGCCGCCAGAAGTTCGCCGACGAGATCAACGGAGGTCAGGTGCGGCGACGGAGCGACCAGGACCACGGATTGCTGGGTTGGCCGATTAGTTGAGGCGCCAGACTTAAGATCTGGTGGGTTCACCAGCTTGAGTTCGAACCTCACACTTAGCAAACTTTTTGTCTTTTTCGAAACTACTAATTTTGAATTTGGATGTTCTAAGAGGATTTCCTGTTTATTTACTTACCGGTCGCATCTTAGGATTTTTCTTGGCTTTGGTTAGCTCCTCTTCGAGATAAGTACGAACACCAACTTTGCAGTCCATGACCGACACGGAAGGATCGAAGCCGCTGAGTAAATCACGCATCTCTATGAACTCTTCCTCGTTGACGATTGTTTTGCCAATCAACAGCGGCGCAAATGGCTTCAAGACGTCGTCCATCAACAACTGCAGACAATTATGTTCTTCAGGTGTAAATTTCTTGCGCACAATACCATTGTCTCCTGTCACAAAGTTTCCCTCGTGGCCAGCTAACTGCACCCACGGCATTCTTCGATCACCGCAAATAGCATAGGTACAGCGAATAAACTGTCTGATCAGCGCCCAGTGATACTGCAAAGAGATAATCACAACGTAAGATGTCGTCTCCGCTTCCAACCGATAAACTTGAAATGGAAAACCGGGAATTAATCGCTTCGTGACGCAAAAGCCTTATCAGGTTCCGAGATTTCCGGACACCCACGTGTTGAATACGGACAGCGGCCACCAATTTGGTTGGTAATCGGGTAAACATTTCTCGTTTGTAACAGGCTATCGCTTCACCAGAACGAGCGCCCTACTGGTCGCCATCAAGCTACAGCTGAAACAAAGCTTGTTCAGAGTAGCCAATCAAGATTCAGCACCATATCAGCTTCAAATTTTGATTGGTCCAGTAGGCGGAACCGCTCAGCCTTCTTGATTGAACGACAACATTGTGTCCATTTGAATTATTGATTTTATTTCCGTTGAAATTTATCGGTGCTGTCGTTCTCTTACCTTTGCTCGTTGAGATCCTACAATCTGTGGCTTTCCAGACGCAAGGGAAGACTGGCTGTGGGCAGAACAAAGACCGGGCAGGCTCAGCTCGGAGTGTCCATAGCGGAGAGATTCGGAGAATACTTGGTGGCTGCCAGATCCATTCGAAGTGTGAGAGATGGCTAAATTCTTCAACGCCAGTAAATTCCCTCTATCATTCACCCCAACAGCTTCCGTACTACTCCGGAGAGATTTTGAAGGAAGAAGGAGGGCTGATTTGCCGACGGAGCTTGTAGAGGAGATTTGAGGGGAGAGATTATTCGTGGAGGAGGAGACAAGTAACTGGGTCGGTTTGTCAGGATCAGCTTCTGGAAGGTTCGGCTTGGTCATGGTAATCTCCGGAATGTTTATGAGTTCTGAGGATGCTCGAAGCTCGAGATTCTTTGGCTTGGTAGGATCAGGAGATTGAGTTTGTCTCTTGTAGCAACAGGGAAAGACATCTCTCGCCGACTGCTTGCACGAGCGCAGCCAGCTTCTCCAGTCGAGTGTCGCTGACGTTGATTTCTTCCTGGGTGGATCCCGCTCCTTGGTCCTGTTACCTACGAGATATACCACGGTGGGGTACAAAGGTAAGCTTCGTGTGCGGCAATTTTGTTCAGGAGACCAACGAAGACTTTCCGACAAAACTGGCAGTGTGAAACTAAATGCGAAAAAAAAAGTTCTTTCCCGATTTTCTGAACATGGTTCCATATCAGACGTACAAGCACGTGACGATGTCAGTCAGTTTTACTGTATAATGTCACGTGCTCGTGTTCTCGCAGGTACCATTCAAGCTGCCTGTAAGGCCCGTGCCTGACGCGCACTTCGCCGTGCGCTCGACAATGCGCAGATGTGAGTGGCTCGTGCTTAAGTTAGCTCACCGTTTGTAGGTTCTTCCGGCATTGTATCGCTGTCGATAACAACCCGGTTGAATACTGGCCGAGCAATAGTTCAGATTAGTATAATTCTGACTCCGAGGTGGTAAAAAATCAATCTCAGATATAATTCGCAGTTTTGTGGTACAGGGACTCAGAGGACATGAGGAGCGCGCTCTCAGCAGTCACTGGCATAATCCATCGGAAACCTGCAACGGAAAATTTAAACATCCAGCAGAACGACGTGATTCATGACTGTGGTAACTGGTAAGTCTATCTTTTCTGTGTTCACAGCAAAAGTTGGCAGAGGAAATAATGATTGAAGGTCTTGCAGGGCAAACGGCACGAACGACTGTAGTCTGAAGCATAACCTCTTTTTCATGGAAAGGAATACGTCTAACGTTGGCAAACAATGACGTAAGTTAACTGCTTACTTTCCAAAGCGTTCTGTTGGTGGTAGTCCTAAATTCTATTTCAGAAATTTCCACGGTGAAAAATCCCGCCGAGGACCGACGACCCGTTTCCTTATCGTTTCCAGATAAAAGCGGAAAATAGAACTGCTAATATAATGGGTTCGGTCAGTAGTTTCGAAAAGAAAAATATGGATTACGTCCAGAGTGTAAATTTCAGATCAGACAGGATAAATATTATGGGAAGTCGGCAAACGAGATGTGCAAGGCTGTAGTTTTAGGCGGCGCACGTCTTCAGCCGGCAACGCTGAAGACGTGCGCCATTTGAGGCAATAATATTGTACGCTTCGTTTGCTGAGTTTCGCTACTTTCCATGAAATTTCGGTGATCCAACTACTTTCAGCAGGAGTTGTAGGCGGAGGTTGGAGTTCGGAGGGAGGTTCTTTGATAATCAATCCAGTTTTTTATTCGAGGTCTAACGAATGGTGACACGGTATAGTCCAAAGATTCCACGCTGGTGTAAGCTGCAAGATGTTTTTCCGGAACTAAGCGATGGTGGTGATGAATCTTGCGGATGGCCCACTTGAGTTTAGAGACAAACTTTGTCCGTCACTCTACGCGACAACAATTTCCTAACTGATAGCGTGGCTTCGTGAAGTACGGTACGTTACCACCTGTTGCAGCCTGCAGCAAGTGTAGACTTTCTAAAACACGGTTACACGTCTTAAAATTCAAACTCGGAGAACAACCGTATAAAATTGCTGCCTCGGACTTTGAATCGGTTCGTGACGTCAATGCAGCCAGCGGAACCGGTTGTAAAAGCCTAAGGTGGAGCAAATGTCAACGTTATTCTCACGAGTGCCGCATTCCACATCAGCGCGATAAGCTTATAAATACGAGTAAGTCAGTCTTTTCTTCTTTCGAATGAACGAAGGTCTCGCCGGTGAGACGTTTTATTGCTTCCCAGAGAGATCGAAGAACCGGACAAGATCTGCGTCAGTCCACGGAGTTTCGTCGGTTCGTAAGTTCGTATCTGCATCAGTATTTCCCCAGCGTAAGAACAGTAATCATATCCCAATTATATTATGTTCATGAAACTACAGGTGTAGTTTGGACCCGGAAAACAAAGCTTAACCCCACCAGTTTGTACAAGACTATCGATGAGTCTAATATTAGTAACGCTAAGTTCTCGTGATTGTACGCTGTGCGCGAGCCATTGAGAATGAACATAACAGTTTTGCCGCGATTAGACGATAGCGGTGAAAAACGTGAAGGAAGTGCCTGGTGTCGTACCTTCCATTGACGTCACAAAATACATAAACCTGTTTGAATTTGCACACATCGGCAGTAATGTTACAACCGAGGAACTTCTACCATGTCGAACACACTTACACATCACAATGCCAACTTGGCGCAATTTTCAGACGCCATTCCTTCCATCGGAACGAGGCTGCGCGGAATATTTGCCGGTGAAGTTTGACGTCTAATACTGCATACTTCACAAACCGTGGTTCGCTCTTTCTGCTATATTTTTAACAAAAGATGACAAATCACGGTGCGCTACTTGAACACTTATAGCTGTTTCCATACTTTTTGGATTTGCTAGGGTTAAAAGCTGAATGTTACAGTAATCAGTTTATGATACGCAGTTTACAAAACTTTACAGTCGATTCCCGAACATTTTGACCAGCGATCGTTATCCTGTAAACTGGGCTGCCGATACCCAAATTTGAAGAGAAAACGGATGCATGGAGGCTTGTTTCATGGTTTCGGTCTGAGCATGGCCTTCACGACTTCTTTGGTCAGACCCAAATTTTCACTCTGGAGAACAGCATCGAGCTTTCAGAAACTCAGGGCTGTTTCGGTGTCCGTCGCCAAAAACTCGGGAGCAGCTCTCCTCCGTAAGGGTGCGGAGAACTTGGCAGCTGGGAGCAGTCTGTTTGCCACCTTGTGCGAAGTCAGTTTTATACTTAAAGCAGTCTCAGTTCGAGAAGCCCATACATCTCTGCGGCTTCCAGGAGACCTTCCGCGTGCTTCTGGAGTCCGTCGAGACAACCATAATACATATTCTCCAGCATAGCGGTTATCACATCGGATGTAATATCCGGCATCGCGCAGCGTCCTGGAAGAAAAACAGCCATTGGAGCTCGTTACAATAAGGCGAATGCTATTTTGCCCACCCTTCTGACTCAAAATAGCTATCTGGCTGTTTTGCCCACCCTTTGGGGCAAAATAGTATTCGGCTATTCTGCCAAACCTGGTGAAAATAGCTAGTCTCTGTTATGCCCCCTCCCCCTTTATTAATCATTGTTTCTCGCAAATCGACCGTTTGAAGGCCGATGTTTGGAACTTGGGGGTTGCGGATACGTGCAATGAAAGGAGAAACAGGCCGCGTCGGTCCTGACGTCGACGACGGCAGACCTGGCCTTAAGGGGGACATCCGCTTGAACGGCCCGCATCCTAGCCGTCTGAACGTTCTCAACTCGGTCGCCCACCAGCTAGCCGTCAACAGCAACAGCAGACATCCCTGCTCCGCAGAAAACAGGCAGCGTGGTCCCAAGGGCACAGAGACGGGCTAGAGGTCGTCCCAGCGGACGCGCCGGCGGCAGAATCTGTCGTGGAGGTCGCAGCGGTAGCACACACAAAGGACATGGTGGACACTGGGAACATGGCAGCGGTAGTCGCGGTGAACAAGGCGATTTCATGGTGGGTATAGAAGGGCCGCGGTAGGCGAAAAGGACCCTTACTCTGTACACGATGGGTACAACATTTAGCGCAGGAAGATATCCCTCGAGGGAACCCGTGAATGCAGCCAAGACCATGGACCTGCTCGG